ATTCCGAGGGGGGGCGGGGGGGGAATGATGACAACACACAGACAGGACACAAACAAAATCGAACAAGAAATTGTACAGTGATTTGTCACAAAGACACATTAACAATTTTCAACCGAAGAAAAAGTACAGGCTACATAATCCAATATGCCGTCACTGCCAAGTGGTTAAGACAGAAAAGGTAGATGGCGCAAACCCCATCAAGTACACATTATTTGCAAAATATATAAAGAAAAAGCTCTCCTTATCAGCATGCAGTGTGACCTCTTTGGGGTTTTTTTTGTGGTTTTTGTTTTGTTTTGTTTTGTTTTTAAAAAAGCAAATACCATTTAAACAACAGATACCTGTCAATATTCACCTCTAACATACTTGAACGGGTAACAGCTGATCGCATGAAAAAGCTGCACTAACTTTATTTTGTCCTTTTAGGTGTCAAATTCTCCAAATTTTTGTGCATACTAAAGCAAAACTGCTGCACAGTTTGCCTTATAAAAACAGCAAATTCAGTGTTTTCATTTTGCCCTCATATTTTGTCTTCGAGTCTTCACATGGATACCAAATTAATTCATTTTGCTGTTATTCTGACCCTCTAAAGCTATACTGCACTGTACTGCATCCTATACTGGACAGCACCCTAAAGATAAGAACACACTTATTGACATTTAGTATTTCACACCTATTATTATCATTTCCACAGCTTCAAGTTGCAGTGATGGCCACAAAAAACAGACTGCAAGTTGATTTCCACTCCCACGCCAATGGGACGTGTTTCCTACTCCACTGGTCAGTGTTCACAAACCCATTAGATTATTTTTCTAAAGCATTAACAAATAATAATTGTCCACCACAAATGTATGTGAGCTATCGTCCATGTGTGCATAAATGACTTAACAGATGTATAGATGGTTTGTTTTGTTTTTGTTTTTGTTTTTTTTTAAGAGAGGTCAATGGCTCTTCTCAATTACAACTGAGTGTTGTTGGGAGTGGTCATTAAAAAATAAATAAATCAGGGTTCTTCAAAGCTGCTGTGCTCCCTGTAAATGACTTGACCTGCAAAGCATCCACCCCTTACCTGTTGTTGGCCCTGCTGGGTTTGCTGAGTTGTCTGCTGATTTGCAGAATTAGTTGCAGCAGCAGCTGCAGCAGCTTGCTGCTGGAAGAGACTGGCAGGATAAACTCCCCAGGGTGTAACTCCATAGTACTGGTGAGGAACAACTGCTGGGCCTAAAACACGAAGGGAATCAAAGTGAGCTTCTGTAGTGTGACAAGCGTTACACAGCAAACCATCACTGAAAATACCTGCTCGTCATGTTTGGTTTAACAAATCCCATTTCAAGGTGATCCACTTCAAATCCTTTGAAAATACGGAGGGATTCTGGCATTTGTATTACTCATTATTTAAAAGCTTAAAGTCAGACCTGAAATTTCAGCTTTACTTACTTTTATCTTACTGGATGAGGTCAAATTCCGCTACCAGTCATCCTGCTGAAATTGCATGATTTTATTGTTATGCTCCAATTTTATAGTGAAGGACCAAAACTTTATTTCTAACCAAAAAGTAGGAAACTTGTTTAAGCACAGAGATACACAAGACTCTTCCAGTCTCAGCTGACATTCATAGCTCAGTAACATCTATCATTTAGCTCCCCAATAAATTTTTAAAAATTCTTTGCATCTGGATAGCATAAATTTTCAAGTGTTTAAAAAAATCTTATTTTTCTAGCCACTCAATCCTACTTCACATTTACAAACCGCTATAAAAAGAGGCTGTATGATCCTGTATCTTTTTGCATTCCATACTTCTCCTCCAATTTAAGAGGCTTAAAAAAAAAAAAGAAAAAAAAAATAATCGTGGAGAGCACCAGAAAAAGCATAACTTTTGAAGATTCATTGTGTTTTATCAAGTCTTACGACACCGCACACTTAATCTGGTGATAGCAGAATGGCAGCCTATATCCTTAAATAATTCTAGTTGGCATAACATTGAGGAGGCAGCAAGTGCTCTGCACTGAATGGTACAGTCCCCTCCCACCACATAACACATATGTGAATCCAATAATATTTTTAATATGTCTGTTCTGTATCTTTTGGAAAGGTCAGCTGAAAAGTAGAAGTTTCAAATACATCACCTATCCCACAGGTTCCCTCCCCACAGTAGGAGTAACTTATGGCGTGCCAGCCTTTTTTAAGGTAGAGTGCCACAGTTATATTTGACACTGTAGAATAAACAAGCCTCTAGTGAATTTGAACCACACACTTGGTTCTTATATGGAATAAAAATAGCTTCTATTTTAAGGGAGGCAGTTAGCATTTGAGTTCTAACCAAGACATTTCAGTACTGCTGTTAGTTACGTCTTACAGAACGACACTGCAAGGAGAACAAGTGTAACACAGGCTACGAGCGTTTGCCCCAAGAGACTTAAAAAATATTCCGTCCAAAACGAGGGGCGATGGTAAAAAAGAAGATGCAAAAAAAGACACTGCAGAGCATAAGCTTGGGTATGACAAAGAGGGGAAGAAACTGAGGAAGTACTTTTTTCTTATGATTTTGTTTTTATAGACAGTAACATGTGTTTGCATCAAATGAGCTACTACATAATGCAAAAGCAATCCGCTGTGCAGCAGCCTGGATCTCAGCCTGGATGAGCCGCTGCTCCCACCATCAATACTGCAGGTTGGTGAGATTCAGCAACACTTCCAAGATATTAATTTCATATTTAAGGTCGAATATTAAATTAATATTTCAAAAGTGTAATAGTTAACTCTCCTTTATTATTTTGTTTCAACCACTGTACTTTCCCCCAACTCAGGATTCTGTAGCATTATTAACACACATGCCCAGCTCTCTGTGCAGCAGGGAGATGGTACAAGAAGCCTGTTGTCTAATGCCAGGCACTTCAGCAATACACATGAACAGTCAGATTTGCATCTCACACTAAAGCTCCGCCGTGAAATCCACCCTTGCTGGATTTACTGTGTACCATCAGTCAGAGAAGGTGACTTGTCTGTCTTACCCAGATTTCTCCTGGAGCAGCAACCACCTGTTTCTTACCTTCCAACCTGGGAATTCATGAGCAGTGGTAGCTAAAATTAAGAAACCTGCACAAAATAGATCAGTCCCACAATGGTACTGCCTATCGTGACCTAAGTAGTTACAGACCACAGCTAATCAGCAGATTATGACCTGTTTGTATTCAGTCAATGCAGATCAGACACCAAATGCTAGGGTGCTCCTGCACTCAACAGGAAAACAGTTGCAACTGCTCCATTTTCTGCAAGTCATTAGTCCCTAAGATACTGGAAGTTGCTGCAATACCCTTTATCTGGGCAAAATTTGGGCATCTCTCTGGATTATTTAATCCCAGTTCTAATTATCAAACAAGCACAGTCTAGATGGGTTTCTTTTCCTAGTCAGAGGTTGCTCATCATATCTGCAAAAGCCTTAGGTGTTTAAAAGAACAGACACAAAGTCTTTGAAGTTTGCAGGCAGCTGGGCTTAAAAGAGCTGCAAGTCTGGCTCAGCTCATCCGAACACATAGTGAGGCTCATTATTGAACAGTGTTCTCAGTGAGGGCAAGTGTGCCATCATTGCCAGACTTACAAAAAAACCCGAGTGTTTCTTTATTTCAGGAGATATTGCACCTGCTTTTACACTTATTAGACACACATACATGAGAAGGCACATTCTTTGAAATCAAATATTCCCACTACTATGTCTCACACATTGGCCACAGACACCCACAAATATTCCTTTCAAGAAACATTAGCAAATCCATCTGTAAGTGTGTTCATAACAAAATTTTTACTTTTAATCTCAGTCTTCACGATCAAATCTCAGTGAGCAGAAGCCATACCTGCTCTCTGCAGGAACATCCAGCCCCTCTTGCCAAAGATGAGGACTCAGTAGTCACCAGGTTAATCAGCCTCAAGAACCTCACATCTGAAAATGCAAGGCTGTGAATACCAACTTTATCAAATGCTAGTGACTCGTGAGCTCATCACTCCACAGTTATCAGTACGGCAACCGCAGATACCCCTGGAGTGGTGTCTACATAGGGATCGGGGGGAGAACTGAGCTCAAATGGCTTGGGTGCAGCCAGCTCACCCAGCCTGGTTCTGGGCAGCACGGGTGTGCATCCCTGCCTGCTGCCAGCTCTGAGCTGGCTCCACATGGGACACGAGTCAGCACCCAGGGAACGAGGCTTGTCAGAAACCCAAAGCTTGAGAAGCACAGTGCAGACACATCCAAACCGACGCTACCTTCAGTCTAGGAGCTCTGTGTTTTTCCTGTATGCAGATTATTCCAGCATCCACTTCTCTACAAAGAACAGAAACACTTTTCTACCTGTAACACACCACCTTGGAGGGAATCAACATTTCCCAACTTGTCTTACAAAAGGCAAGATTTCTCTTCGTTGAGTGACATCCTTCTCAAGTGATAGAAGGCAATTTCACAACACTTTTTAAAGAGAGCAGTATCTTCCCCACAGTTTAAACTTACACGTGATTTTTTTTTTGTCTTAAGTCTAGGAAGCCCTTCCCTCTGCATTCAAATTTGTTCTTTATTGTTGGGAAGAAAAGAATATTATCACCGGGCTGACAGTCTTTCAGTCACAAAAAAGCTGCCATAACGGCAGAATCTTAATTGACAGAATTATCTCTGCCATAAAAACACACACAAGTTTCCCCTCCACTCTAAGAGTAACTGTGAGGAAATCTAACCAACATCTCAACATTTCTTCCATCTCAAACTTCTCCCAGTCCTCCCAATCTAACACTCCCACAGGCCTTCTGACTTTATACATAGTTTCTAAATTGCCCCACGCCCCTTCAGTGCTGCAAGTGTTATTACAGAGAAAAGGCTTTCAAAACTACTTGAGTCTAGACAGAAAAGGTGATTTTCTTAAACATCAACAAGGAGTGTAAATTTGTTCTACTGCCATTTCTAGCTGTTAGTGTCCAAAACTAATGAGATGGATGAAGTAACTCGTATTTCTCAGTGGTGGAACACTAAATACATTGCAGCACATTACACATTCTTTTGCTTTGCCTTCAAGAGTCACAGTTTAAGAATTATTCAAGCAGAGATCCTGATGCCAAGTTTTGGGATGCTTTAGGTATCCTGGGGTATATTATTCCCAGTTCAGATTTATAAGGCCCTAATCAGATATTCAGGCAGCTTTAATACTGCTAAGAAAAAAAAAAAAAACAAAAACATTGTCACTAACACGCTTGCCATTTCCTAGAAATCTGGCAGCAGTTACACGTGGTCTTTCTATGAAATCAAGATGCTGACCTCCTGCTCCACTGAACTTCAGTGTGTTACCAAGGAATAAGCACTAGCTCTAGAAGTGCTGAAGTGATGCAAAAAGGCTATTTTTATAGCATTCATTTACAAAGCACCTCTTATGACTGTAACTGGAATTGCTACTGCTCTGGCACTTCCCTGCTACATCCTGAATGAAGCTTCCTACTTATACTTGCCACCAAGAGTTCAGGTAATTCATTCACTGCCACACATTCATCATCACATGATAGTTTATCAACTCCTGGGCTATTAGAAATATCCTTGTACTCTAGCTCTTGGCTTTCTTCCATTTAATCAGAGTCATTTGTTTGCCAACAACATGTTGTTACCTAAACTTAATCTTGCATTGTTATTATGCAATCAGCATGCAAAATTCACAACAGTCAAAAAGTCCAAAGCCTGTCTTCAAATTATAATCTTTATTCTTTACATACTTCGATACGATCCACTAAAAATGCCGTCCAACTGGGTAACAGTTGCTGAAATCCCATTTCAGAGCTTGACCTGATACAGGCCTCAAAGCTTAAAAGCTAAGCAGTGGTTATGTAAGAGCTGTTAAACATGCCGAAGAGTCACGTACCAAACCACAACGCTGGCAGAGCGCTATATTCACGTACAACCAACATTTTATGGTTTTGATTTGGTACAAGCTATCCCACAGTGGAAGAGATTTGCAGCAAGTATACAACTTGTAAGCAGAGTGTAGCAACAGTGTGCAGGCTCCATTAAAAATCACCACGACTCTGAACTAAGCTGTTTTTATTTAAAATGTAGAAGGCTTCCACACACCCGGTGGCTCATGGAAAGAAAAGCATCGTTATAAGAATGTTTTTCTGAAAGTACCTCCTTCCTTTGTCCTCAGTGCTTAGGCAAGAACTTTATGGCATACGCAGCAAAAGTTCAACGTACAATGTGTTCTTCACACTGCCTGATAAGCTGTTTTACTGAGCTGTCATCTCAAGATACAACAATTTTGGCTATGACAGTTGGCAAGAATTTGGAAACTGATACATGAACGTTTGGGAGAAAGATCTTGCGCAAAGACAAGAGCCACCATCTTTGCTTGCCATCTGGAAAACTGCATATTCATAGTCTAAGCCTCACAGCAGATATGGGATGTTTTTACCTAGAGAACCTAAAAAGCGTAACTTCTTAACAGACTCTAGCAAAAGGGGAAGATATCATTTGCAGGATGTACAACAGTAAATCAAGCTAAACAGCAATGAGATACAACTTTCCTGGCAGGAAAACACATCCTCCATCTTTCTAACATTTAGTAAGTACATTTTCAAAGGTATCTCTCACTACTGTCAGTTACCAAAAAACCCCAAACATGTAGCAACATTCGTGTCTGCAAGTGTTTCATTTCAGATTTTCTCTGCTTGTTTATCCTCAACAGAAAGAGAGTCCATAGCTAGTGTTATACAAGAATTATCACATTTCATCTACAGAAAATAGTGTTCCCACGACAAAACTGTGTTTCAACTTCCTGATAGATAATTATCCACAGAAATTACAATATACTAATATTTAATTTCCACAATCAAAGACTCAAGAGCAGTTTTGGTACAGAAAACAGTCACAGATACACAGACAACTGAAAGCATCTCACCTAATGTTGCAGCTGCGGCCAGCCCGGCTGCGTAGGGATCTGTTCCCGGTGGAGCAGCGCTGATGATGTATGGATTGGGGACAAAGGCAGCAGGAGCTAAACCTGCTGAAAACATACCTGTCAGTAAAAACAAACTTAACTAGAAGTGAAGCCCTACCAAAATACCTCTGACTACCTGGCTGGTGAACACAAGAGCTGAGGTTCCTTTAGTATTTTCAAGCTTTTACAGGTTGTTTTCTATGGGGAGTGAGCAACCACTGCATCGCCCAGAGTCTTAACAGAACAATCTACAGAGGATATAATTTACATAAAAGAAACCTAATTCCAAGGATGCAACATCCCATGAGGAAAGCTGAAGTGGTAAAATACTCTATATACAACACCCAGACTTGCTCAGGTATCTCTGCAGCGCAGATACGCCACAGAATCACAGAATCATCTGGGTTTGAAAAGCCCTTGAGGCTCCTCCAGCCCAACCATGACCCTCACCCTGACCGTTCCCAACTCCACCAGATACCTCAGCGCTGGGTCAACCCAACTCTTCAACCCCTCCAGGGATGGGGACTCCCCCCCTGCCCTGGGCAGCCCATTCCAACGCCCAACAGCCCCTTCTGCACAGAAATCCTTCCTCAGAGCCAGCCTGACCCTGCCCTGGGCAGCTTGAGGCCATTCCCTCGGGGCCTGGCGCTGGGGCCTTGGCTTGAGAGACTCATCCCCCCTCTCTGCCCCCTCCTGGCAGGGAGTTGCAGAGGGCCAGGAGGTCTCCCCTCAGCCTCCTCTTCTCCAGACTAAACCCCCCCAGTTCCCATCACCCTTACTGTTTAGGTGACTTTTAACACCAGCTAGATATTAACATTATCTAATGGCTTATTACTGCTCTGTATTTTCCACAGCAAGCTGATCATGAACCAATTTATCCTACTTTCTGAGTTCCATGCCCACTACACCAGTACTTCAACTGATTAATTTGGAAGGAGCTCAGGAGTGTACAGGCAACATCGCAGATTACTATCGCTGCCATGTAGGCACTACCTTCCTCTGCAAGGAAACAGTTTAATCATTACAGAAACTACTGGTGGGTGGGAGAGGGGAGTGGAGGGGAGGTGAAGGTAAGTTAAAAAGCTAAGTAATTTTAATTCAGCTCTGTCCGTGAACTGCAATAAGCACACAAGCGCACTGCACAGAGCTGGGAGAGTCCCAACATATTTGTACAGGGCTTTTGGGTAGGAAGAACTACCACTTAAATTGACTGTTGTGTTAAAAACATTTAACCCCAAGATAGTTTAACTGTAACCATCCATGGGTAGCCCTTCTACAGTTCTGCTCTCTTCCTACGCACAGGACTAAGTGCTTTCTTCCCAGTTAATCTATACTGTTTTAATAATATGAATCATGTGTTTGCATAAATTACATACTTAAATTAAGGTCAGACCCCAGGCAGCTGAACCACAGGAAACACATTCAGACATATATTAAATTGTGCATTTTTACTCTCACTTCACTGTGCCACTTGCCCTAATTCATGCCTCACTCAGGACAAGCAAGTACTTCAAAACACTCTCATCACTGAACAGCACTCTTAGCTAGGGTAAGAGTATAATTTCTGCCAGACATGAATGCTCTAGAGCTTTTAAAAGCATGCAAAAGATACCTCCAGAATTTTTCAAGTAAATCTTCAGACAATATATTTTTGCTTGCAGGTAGATTACCAGTTGCAATAACATATTTAGGATTCTCTAAAGCCTACCACTCCTTTTTCCCTGCTATTTACCCAACGTATTCTGAGGATTAACAGAAGTCCAGCAAAACATAATATATTAAATGTAAGACTTACCTATGTGAGGCTGATGAGCAGCTGCCAATGCATACTGCTGCTGCTGCGCTGCTGTTAGTTGTTGAACAGCAAGTGCGTTCGGTCTTTGGAACAACTAAGGGGACAAAAGCACAAACATGGTCCTTTACTCATGCACAAAAAGCATTCTCTTACTTCCTTTTAAAGCAATTCCTTTACACTAGATTTATTTGCACAACTACAGACACTCCTCTTTTAAGTGAAACATTTCAAAAGGAATTGGAAAAAAAAAAAACAACCTCTTTTGAAATCAATTGCCCATGATAATCCAACTGAAAAATAAATATATTTCTGAAGCACAGCTAAACCACAGACAGCATTTTCTCTGCTATTCTCTGCACAATGCCTGAAAGCCATTTTTTCCCCAACTCCTCCTCAAACACACAGCCCCTAACTGCAGCCAGCAGATCACTAGTAGCTGCCGCAAGCACTTCCAGATCTTGAACACCACTGAGCACAGTGAAATCACAGTTACAGCAGTGGCCAACCCGTGTGACTCTCCCAGATGGTCTGAAGTGGCATGCGGGACGGCAGGCGGGCTGCAGAGCAAGGTGAGAGAGAGATGATACACTTGAGATGGCTTCAGAGCCAGCTGAAGAGCCATTCCATGGGATGGAAGCCTCAGGAGTTCAGAGTCCCCTGGACAAGACAGTTCCTTTACCTGCCAGCCTTGTACCTCCAGCATCTCCTACATGAATCCAGGCAAGAAGTGGAAGTTCTTTAACCACAGACAGAAACCAGACCCAGGGACTTTTTGGTTAAGTCATCCAAAGTATATACAAATTTGTCCGTTTACAGCTCACTGCAATCTTAGGGAGTGTGGGCAATGTTATTGAGAACAGTCACTCTCAATAAGAAATAAAAGAGCGGATTACATTAGTCTTTAAAGTATTTTTGCTTAGGGTTTTTTGGTTTTTCACTCATCCAGGTCCTTACTAAAAACTTACTTCCCCATTTCCGATGCCTCCACCCAAGTGAAACACTCCCTGAATCAATCAATCCATTAGCAGACCATTGCTCAGCTCTAATTAAAACATTTAAGGATATACAAGCTGAAGAGTCACTCAAAGTATCCAGAAGCAATGTTCATCACCACTTACTTCCAAAACTGATCATTTCTGAAGTGTGAACAACTTCACAAACCACTGTAATAAATGTTTTCTCTCTCCACTCACTTGGAAAAAATAGGCCTAAATGCCATACAATTTTCACACCTATTATCTCTGCCCTCCTTTCAGACAAGACAAGTGAGCTACTTCAGCTGTCAGAAGCAGCAGTAATAATTCTGTCCAAATTTTTGGCAGAAACTCGCAACCATCCAGAAGCAGCACAGAATCATTTAGAAAATTTGGGTTGGAGGTTTTTTTAGGCAAAAATTGGGAGCTGGTTTTCCTGAGAGCAGGATGAACAACTGCACTGTTTAGGCAGAAAATCTGAAAAAAAAGATGGGTGATAGTCTACCTCTATTTTCTTCTCTTTTTACCAGTTCAAAAGAAGAAAAAAACAAACACATATAAGGGATCAGTATCAGACATAAGATGTGGAAACTCGTACTTAGGGGATCCAGAATTGATCCTCTGTGCACCAAAAACCTAATCACAACAGTTTTCCCCAAAAATTGCTCACCCCTTAAGATGCTAAATATATCCAGGGAGTATCGTAATGGAGAAACACATCAAATCCACAGTTATTTTATTAACTCCCTGGGCCTAACATCAGGAGGGCCATAAAACATTCCTAGCAGTCTTTATGCAAAACACACCTTTATTTTCTTTTTTCTTTTTTTAAACATGTCATTCAACAATACTTCATGCTTACAGAAAGTTGAATGCTTATAAGGTGTATCATCTTTGTTAATATACCATCTGTCATTAGTAGCTGGATCAAATGCTCTACTGTCATCTTTTAGTTTAAAAAAGCAAGGACATCATGGACATCTATAGAAAATGGAAAGGGGGATACTGGCTCTGTAGGAGTCTCCAGCAACACCTCATTCACTGATCAGCATCAGCAGATACAGAAAAATACACACATATCTCTCCCATAAACTGTCTCATTGCTGGGCATAGATACATCTAGAACAGCCATCCTCGATTTTGTGGTCTACTTTTCTATTGAGTCCAGCAACCCTGTATTTCAGCTTTCTTCAGCAGCAAGCACTTCACCAAAACCTTTAATTTTCATCTCCTTTTGCATCCCTGGGATCTGTTTTTCCAGTCTGGCTAGATTATTAGTTGCCTGTCTTAAGGGCAAAAAAGCACTTACCTTCTCTGAAAATATTTTTTCTTGTGCTCAGTTTACGTGTGTGATGACTTCCACACCACCCAAATGCATCTCAATGATCCATCTTTAAATCAGAAGTACTAGCAAAAATACCCCAAACCTACAGAGCTACTCAAAGCATGAATATTTCACCTGCCGCTGTTGTATTATTTTATTGTTGTCTGCTTGCTCCCTCCTCCTCTTGTGAGCACAGCTGATGACTGCTAAATTTGACTTCCAGACATAACAAGTACCCACAACAGCTTTGTGCATTCTTCTTTTGCTGAAATCGGGCCATAGTATCTAAACCGCTCTGCAAATGGCTGCTGTCAGCAATTGTTAAAAGGTTACCTAAAGACTCAAAGAGGGTGATTGAAAAGATGCTCCTTTACCTAAAATTATTTGTGTAATGGAAGAATAAGGAACAGAGTGGCTGGGCAGAGTCCTTTCATCTGCTTACGAAAATCATGGAGGGTATGTCTGCATCCTCCAACTTAGTGATGCTTACTTCCTCAGACAATATTCTTGCGCTTCTTTAAAACCACGGGCAAATGTTCTGCATTCACACTGCGTTACAAGCATGAGGAAGGGCTGGATTCCTTCTGTCTGACGACCTCTCCAACCTTTAGAGAGCTTCCCTTCTAAAGAAGGGTCAGGTAAATATTGGTATCTAAGCGATGTGCTCAGGCAGTGACTCAAATCAGCCACCTCCCCCTCTGCCCGCTTTAAATCCCAGTTTCTGCAAACCTTCAAACCCAGATTCTAGACTCAGCTTACCAAGAAACTCAGTGTGAACAGCTCAAAACTTTTTGCAGCTGCAAGTTTCATACTGCCTGCACCATGCACAAGGAAGCGGAGCCAACAAAAACGATCACAATTTCAGGCTTTACTTAGCCAGATAAGCCCCTACACCACATGAGCTCTGGGAATCGTCAACTCTACCTATTTAGGAAGGGTTATTAAAGTCTCAATGCACTGTCTCCATCTGCTGACAGCAAAGACCTATATTCCAAAAAACAAAGCAAAAAGTAAAAACTCAAATAACAGCTTTTTGTCATCTTATTTGGAACCCTACTGGATATGAAACTAAGGTTAAACCATGTTATCAGTGTTGTCTCTGGTTAAGTGGAAAAAGGAAAGCAAACCTTTGCTAACAGGAGTATTAACTGGAATTTATGAAGTGAGGCTAAATTTATAAGAATGTATGCATGGAGCATTTTAGCCTATTAGAAACTACATTGAGTGAAAACCTACAAATGAATACAAAGGAACTCAGCATTTCAAAAAGTGAGGCTATTTTCCTCTCAGATACTCAAATGAAATATTTACAACACATGGGGGAGTTCATCAAGGGAATTCCAAGAAACCAGAGCATCGCAGTCTCTATGATAGTTATAGGAACACCGTAAGATTAGCTTTCTGTAAAGCCAGTTTCTTCTGCAATATAAACATCTGACATCTCTAATCAGATTACATGTGGTTAAGACCTTCCCTTCTTAATATTGCTTTTAGCTGTACTTGATTGTAATCCCTTCAAAGTATATAACACTTCCCAACGGACTGAGATAGACACTTTTACAGATGAGATCCTTTTGTTCAGGACATATTTCTTTCTGACAACTGAGTGGAAAAAAACTATACTGCCAAAAGACAGATTTCTTTCATACAGGCTATAACTGGCAGACAGTGAATAACAAGAAACACTGGCTGCTGGATAAAATAAAATAAGAAAATGGGTACAGCTCTTGAGCCATTTACACAAATGTGCACTGAGAGGTCACATGTGGCAGAAGAGCAAACCCTTATCTTTAATACAGCACTTACACTTACAAAAGCCTGTTGTTTGCATTTACTGTAGGTGTAAGTAGCTATTGCAACAAAGCTGAAACTTTAAAATAACAGTCCTTATTAAACAGCCTGTCCTGCTTATTCTCAGCATGACCTGGCTGGGAGCTAAGCATGCCAGAGTGACTGGGTGGGCAGGCAGCTGTGCTCACAGTGCCAGGACCTCCTGCTTCCCACCAAAATTTACAGTTCAAAGAGAGGAGAGAGAATTCCAGCCTCACAGGCAATCCAGCATAAAGTTTTAAGCACTGTTACATGGAAGTTACATCAGCTCTAGGTGAATAATACTCACCCACTTTATACAAAGGAAAAAAAAAAAAAAACCCACACACCAAAAAAAAAAACAAAACAAAAAAAAAAACCACACAAAAAAAAAACCCAAAAAAACAAACACCACAACACAGGCCTGTCTACAGGGCCATCCAGAGCCAGGAAGCCGTACTGCAGTCACTTCTGAAAACAGCACACTTTCCAGGTTGGCTTTACTTCTGGAGTTTTTATTTCTAGCTAGGTGCAAGATATGTTAAATTTTAAATTCTATTTTCTAAAGGCTGGAAGAAATCAGTAAGAGCTACATGAACTTGTAAATGAGCCTTAATTTAAATAAAATACACTAACAGACAAAACACAAATTACAGGCTTCACGTTCCTGCTGTTATTTTTCCATAATTAATGGTTCTTTAAAAGGAGCTCACCCAGCTAGCTCTAACATACTGTTTAAAAAAAAAATACACAAGTTTCATTGTTTTAAGCTAATTCTTGCATTCAAGGTCCTACACCACAGAGTAAGACAAAGACTTTAAAGGAGCTGCTTCCCCTCCCCCCCCTTTTTGAACTATACAGCAGCTATTTAGTTTAATCATTAAAAAAATTTCCATCATTAACCTCCTAAATGTGCTATATAATAAAACACCCAATTAAGCTATAACACAGATATTTACACTGCTTTTAAGACTATGATAACTCTCTGAAGGTGGGCGTTTATGACAAACTTGGCAATGGTCTTTCCTCAACACAGAATGCCAACAGGTTATTTTGCTAAAAAAGATCATGTATTTCAGGAAACCCAGGGCTAAGTTATACACTCTTGCAATCAGCTACAACAAAGGATTTTATTCTTCAAGGGATATCATACTTACAAAAGGAAAGCAATAAAAGTTTACAATCGTTACCCAAACTAGCAGGAACAGGAGTGGATTACAAGTCAGTCATTGGATGTAGGCCCAGCATTCAAGAGAAGCCAACAGCAAAGCAAGGACTTAGATTACTTGTCCAGGATGAGAAGCTTGGGCCGCTTGCGTGGGAGAAAAGGTCAAACAAACTCACTGGGCTGAGATAAAGTTTTGTAGTATTGGACTCTGACCTCAGGTTTTAAACTACGCTCAAGTACAGGAGAGCCAGTTTAAACTCATTATTCCCTCAGCCTGCTCCAGTTCTGTACTGCACAGATCCCAAAGCTGCAGCACTGAAGCTGAACACTCATATGTCCCCTAAGTCACTTTAAGCACTTGAGGTTGGGGGGTGGGAGGTTGTTGTTTAGCAGTTTTACTAATTTAAAGCTTTTCTCCAATGCAAACTTACTCAAGCTAAAAATGATTAATACACAGAAAAGTGCTGTTTGACAACTGCTGTTCAGATGGCCATCTTACATAGATCTTCTGCCTGGAGCTCCCTAGGAGGACACATGCAGCACTCTATAGATGGCACAGAGATGATGGAACTGTTCCAACTCTTCCTCCATCCCTCTCCCCCAGACAAGAGCCTGAGCTCATGCTAACCTCACAATGACTCTCCTGGAGGAACTGGAGTGGTGGGGTAGAACCAACACCCAACACTTTACCTGCTGTTGGGAATTGTAATCGAAGAGCCCCACGGTGGCTGCGGCCGAGTCCACAGGTACTTGAGTGCCAGAATAATCAAACTGAAGAGGCTCCATGCCAACGTGCTCCATGGGATCCAGAGGGACGCTCTGGGACTCAATATTGGAGAAATCCTCCACCGGCTTGGCACCATTAGTACTTGCCAGCTGGGCTAAGCCCTCTGATCCATTCTGGTTTGGACCCAGAAGATCTACTTCACTAGCAGAGTTCTGGCAATTACCAGGTGTACGGCTATGCAGAAAGAAAAGATACTCGTCACTAAGTACATCCATTTAATGCCATGTCACACAGCATCAATTAACAGCAACAGATACTAGTACTCACCGGAACTGCTTGCAGATGTTGTGATAAAGAGGAAAAAGATAAAAGAAATGTCTGAAATAGTTCCCTAAATGAATTCTACAGAACAATTTATGTATTTAAAAAAGGCCAAAAAAAAAAAACCCCACCCACAAAACTCCCAGTCCCTCTGCCTCAAAGACCTTTTACACTGAAAGTATAAAAAACTTCAGTTTCTTTTTTTCTCCTCAATTGAGAGAGTCAGTCATAACAAGACAGAATTTTAGAAATGCCGAAGTTATTTTTTCATAAATCTATTTGGTAATTACTAACCATGTGACTGTAGCACTTGTACCTCACTCGAAACCTTTCTAAAGTAGCTGTCATGGTTTCTTAAACTACCTAACATAATTACCGGACTCAAGTGATAAATGGTTTATATCTCAACACAAGGGCCAGCGGTATGCGCCTCACAGCACATTTGTTCTGCTTTTACAGTTTTCCTGTATGTCAACACGAGGCCCAGCAATTAGGTAAACTAGCAAGAAATAGAAATGCATAGATTATATCAATAACCACAATCTCAGAAAGCTTTAATCTCTTGAGGGTTAGAAGCAACAAGTCCAAAACCCCAACTATAATTTAGACTAGTATATAAACAGAGTCAACGTCTTCAGAAGGTATTTCCATAAGAATCCCACACAGAGTAATTAAGAACAGGTGTGAAAATAAAACAAGATTACAATATACAGAACAAGGTCTGCACACATTAGAGCTATCAGATGTTAGCCTCCGCCTTCTCACAGTGCTTCCCTGGGTACATTTTAACATCCTTATGACAGCGTTTCAATGAGTCAAAGGCTTTTTCACTATGGCATGGAAAATCTTTTTAAAAAAAATTAAGCATGACACTGATTAATTATTAACAAATGGTGCACATACCTGAAGTCTTTGACATCTGCGTCGATTCCATTCTGCACAGGCAAACCATTTGTTTTATCCATCACATCCCCCTCCTCCTTCAGATCTCCTAATTTATCGCCATCAAATGTGCCCTTATTTTTCTTATCCCCTTTGTCATTCTCATCATTCTCTGCATCCCTTGGCCCCTAGGCAAAAGAGACATTATTTTAATAAGCTTAGTTTTCAGATCAATTTTACTTTTATTCCGAGATGGTAACAAATCAAAAAAAAACATGTCACAGTAAAATAAGTCACTTGCAAACATTAGTTCTTACAAATAAACATGTAAAAAAGCAAAACAGTCAGTCATAACTGAAGAAATAAGGGAATTAGTTTTCACTCTTCCAAGAGAGGTTTTAACTATCTATTCAGTTTCTTCCATTTAGTAATTCAGGGTCTGCTTCTATACACTCTAAAAATCCCACCCCAAAATAATTCTTAAGAAAATTTATCCAAATCCTTTTTCCAGATGGGACTTAGGCACTTCAAAATTAACTCAGGAATTTTTAAATACAACAGCATGTACTGAAGGCGTACAAACAGAATTAGTGCCTCTCCCAATGTCACCTGTCTCAGACAAGTGCATGAATTTGAGCAGAACAGGATCACCTCAGTTTTAGGGGGCATTACTGTGATCTACACAGTGAATTCCAAGGTATGGCTCATTCAAGAGCACTCAAGTTAATCACTAGCTTGATCACTTGTCCATATAGTCCTAAAATACATGGGGGGGGAGCAGGAAGGAAGAAAGAAAAATTCTTTTCCTTTTTTTCTGTTGAGCATTTTATGAGTGGCATTACATCTGCAGCATTTCTGCCCTTAATATCTGCATTTTATTCCACTTGGGAGAAGAATAAAGGGTGATTATGCCAGGGGCAGAGTTTTGAACAACAAAAGGGAGAGGAAAAACAACATAATTTATGATAAAAAACAGCAAGGGGCATATAAACATATTTATCAGACACAGCTTTGGTGCTGTCACAAAGACAGACATTCAAACCCTGTCTTCCACTTCATCTGAGGGAAAAGTACTCTGCACATAACAGAGCATTTGAACCTTCTATCAACTACATAATTTTCCCATTCTCTCCGATTGCATGTGGGATCTTGCCATCTTATCTTTAAAAAAAAAAAAAGATTGTTTTAAAAGCATCTTCTGATGCTTCTTAAAGAAAATAAAATCGTATAATAAATCATATGATAAAGTGTTATATGAAATACTATATGATAAAATCCTATAATGAAATATGCCTTAATATTAAAGAGCGGACTTGGAAATGCCAATTGTAAACACAAATTTGGAGCCCAATTTTCACCCACACAATGTGATATTCACCAGTGAGACCTTTCATTTCAGAACCGGCATCCTGACTATCAATGCTGCAGAGCAGACACCGCTCTATCCCCCAATTCAGATGATAAATTGGCTCCTTCCACTGATTGTTCATTTCTCAAAAATCATCTTTCTTAGGCTCAGGGTTCAACAAGGTTATCAGGTGCCCACTAATGAGGGACAAAAATAAAGAGGATGGATGAAGGAAACCACAAATCAGCTCCCTGAAGAAATGAGCACAGCAGTCTCACAGTAACAAACCTACTCCGCTTTTATGTTTTTCAACAATTCCCGATCTAGCACTTGGCCTAGGAGGTAGAGCTGAGATGCAGCCCCTTTTTCCCCACTACAGGGATGGGGCTTGATTATGCCTCTCTCACCACATCCTTAGATTCGAGGCAGCAGCAACTGTGCTCCCTTCCCCACCCCACAAAGCACAGTGACTAATGCCATTTCTCCATAGGAAACGATATGCCCTTGAAAGCATTCCCCAGCTGGAGTGGCTTTTGTAGCTACATTACGTTTCTAGCATCATTACATGGAGCTTTTTGTTCTTAGCCAGCAACAAAGCAGCCACACGCTCATTCAAAAACCACAGGTAGATTTGCATACTTTTCCAACGACAAGCTTAGATGGGGTGTTACTGCCGGTGTGCTTATCCGAAGAACCAGGGAATGTCAGCAACCTTCACATCCTTTACACCCATCTCCCATACTGCATCCCCTAAGTCAAGAACAACAGTTAAACTGCTAGCCTACCCATTTTAAGATAGCTAGCTAAACTAAGAGTAAATAAAAGAAACATCTGCCTTTAGAAATGGATTAACAAACAAACAAACCAAGCAGCAAATGGAGAAAGTAACATAATGGGAACTCAAATGTCAGAATCAGGCACACTTACAAATCCTCCTTTCCTTAGGCAGGAATCTCCAGGAGATGAGCTCAACACATACTCCACCATGCTAACTCCAAGTCCTCCACTCTCTGACCGTGGTGAAAGCACTGAGTTGACTTCACTATTCACATGAAACCCCTGACCAGGTCTTCTCTGAACCATAATTGGTTGGGAAACAGAGTGATCTGGAACAAAAACATGTGTAATTCTTACAAGTAGATCCAGCTATTCAAAGGAGGCAAGTCATTAAATACGTACTCTCTAGAGTCTTAATTGTACTAAGAAGTGCCAACTTTTTCACTCTGATGTCTATTAGAAAAAGCAGGATGGCTTTCTCATTTTTTAAATACTAGAACCTGTAAACCTACAAGCGATGACTACATTTAAAGTCTAAAATAATAAAATTTCAGAAATTTAAGTCTCTAAGCAAAGGTTACAATTAAAAAAACAAATTTTAATTTTTAGTTTTAGTAAAACTCTTGCATTAATACAGTGAAAAAACAATCAGTCTTGCGTTGTCATTTAAAACATTCTCCTACCGTTAAACCGGCCTACATCTGTTTCCTTGGTCATATGAACTGTCATATTCATGTCCTGATCAGAGTTTCTCTTAGCTGCTACTTCCTCAAGAAAAAGTTTATGAGAACTTAATTTCTTCTTCCTCATCTCCTGTCCTTCAGCATCAGCCCCATCCCTTTACGATCCCAGCAGCATGAGGGTTTGAGATCCAACCAGAACAGACTAAGGACAGATGTCTCCAACTCCTTGTGAGCTCTGTAAAAATCACGGGCTGGGCAGGAGAAAGTGACCCTACAGCCTCAACGAGGGAAGGGAACAAGTTCTCTACTCCTGGCTGCTCAGACTAGCAATAGTCAGTGAGTCAAAAATAATAGGCAGCAGATACAGTAGTTGCCTAGGGGATGGTGGAAGGCACATGCAATGATATTGATACTGCAGCTTCCTTATAAAGCAGGCATAAGCTGTCAAGAGAAGTAATTCTATTCTATCATTGCTCCTGGCTACATTTTCCTGCCTTTTGCCTCAATCCAGCATGAGCATCTGTGTGGCCAAGGTGAGACAGGCTGGGGAGACTTTTTAGGGATAAAGCTAAGAAAAGAGAAAAGCTAGTTTTAACTCTGATCAATTCCCCAGCAGGTTTCAATGCACTGCTGTACAACTACTTGTACAGCCAGGAGGGGAAGAAAGGAGTGTGCTGCATCAGACAGGATTGCTTCTTTTATTAGTACTGGCTTTAAATGCTTTAAAACTACAACTTCAAGGTAGAGTAATGAAGAACCAAAGCCATATGGGAGGACTGCAGTGCACATTGTGGACACAGACAGAAAGGAAAATGGATGAAGCGAAGGGCATCTTATAGAAAACAGGCTTCATTAGTTCCACTGTTCGCGAACAAACTCATCTTCTGGCCAAGGACACTTGCACACCCCACCTCCAAGTTGTGCTCCTTGATCTGGGGCAGTGACCTTGAACAACTGCCCAGACCATGGCTGTTCTCTTCATCTTAGATGAGCAAAAGGGGAAACTATGACTTCCCTGACTCAGACACCAGTGCAGGCCATGGCTCAGGAATAAAGGCTGTAAGGTGCACAGGATTAATTGAGAATAAACAAAGGAAGAGATGAGACGAAAGGCTTTGACTCATGGAGATTTGTGATCAGCAGCGTAGGAGGTTACCTCCCCCAGATGTCTAACCCTGCCTGTCTGGTGGATGTAACCAGCCCAACAACAGAGGCAGCAAAGGAGAAAGTCTCCTTCTCAACTGTTGCTGTTGAGAGTCTGGCTCAGCCCTTTAATAAAAACTGAAGTTGAGGGTGGATTAATACAGGCACAAACTGTTGTTGAAGACTGGATGCAGTAGCTTACAGAGACCCACTGCGGACAGGCAAGTCAGACAGCTGGAGGCAGCAGCTCCCCAAAATCTCCCCAGCCCAGCCAGACTGCAAGATTCAGCCAAGCAGATTTTGAGAAGCTTTATCCCCTTTTCACAGCCATTTTGAAATTTAAATAATTGAAATAATTTCAAAATGCTCTTATCACTATCGCAATACCTTCACCCTAAAAATAGATATTTTCAGCAGGAAAAAAAAACACACACAACAGTGAAGTTGCTCTAAATCACATCTCTCCTGGAGCTGTAGTTCTGCACAGTTGTTTGGAAACTGCACAAGATACTCAGCAGTGTTTAAGGAACATATTCGTTACATATAGAAAGCACAGAAAATAAAAAGGTTAGCATTTCAAATTCAGCACATGCATGTGATTTTTTTGCCATTTAACTAAAACCAACCTCAGTCTCCCCTTACATTCATAATAAGGGACAATCTCTTATCCAACAGCAAAATTCTTAGCAGATAAACTTCAACACTTATTCAAAACATCACTTCTTTTCTTTTTTAAACTCAATGTTGTTGGATTTTGGCGAGTTGGTTTAGTATTTTAAAAATTGTGGGGGGTTTTGTTTTGTTTGGGGTTTTTGTTTATTTTTTTTAGTAATCTTGTTCTTTAATATCTTTGTTCAAACTTAAAAGTAATTAATCCAAAGGCAGAAAATACATCAGAAAGTTTAAACTGAAATTTTAATGGCAATCTAAAATTTGTAAGCAGATAAACATGAGGATACAGACGTTCACATCAGACAATCTTTTATAACTATGGATATCTTTTAACTCTATCACAAAGCAATGTGGGTTTTTCTATTGGTTTTCTATTATGTAAAACAGATGATTTTAAAAAAATCTTTTTAAAGCTCTGTCATACAGACTGGCCAGCAATTCTGAGTAGACGAGTTGCACATTTCTGTATTCAACCCCGACTAAATTAAGTAAATAATTGAGCTACCTGATGTTCCCCAAGCACTGTCTCTCCACTGATCTCCCAGAAATATCCCTTTTGGTCCATCTTTGCTGGAATCATCAGATTCCCAAAACTTTTTACCCGGCAACAGCTGCTGCAATTAAAAAAAAAAAACAAAACAAAGCATGATTAAAATAAGTATAAAATGCAAACATAAACCATAAGCGTCTCCCTTCTAAACATGATTCAATCATTAAACACAAACTGATACATGCTTTATAATCAAAATATTTATATACTCCTAGGGTGAAAGCCATACAGCAACTGAGATAATGATTCAATCTCTGCAATCCTCTTACATTCTTAAATGCTTTATGTATCCCACACATGTAAGCACACACATACAATTTACATTCCCAGCCTCTCAGCATGAGAGCTGCTTGCAAGAAAAATATTATCAGAAAAAACTGTTCTGATCAGAACATTGTCATGACTTCCACCTGAGCTGTGAGGATACTTCTAAAACAAATTCCTGCCTTCAAATAGTGTGGTTCTGATGCTGGCAGTGACAGAATAGCTCAAGAGGTGCCAAGAGTTCTGACTTCTCACTTATTTAATGACTGCTGAGGACTCCCCATGCTATGAAGGTTATTTGTAAACACTAATAAGAGTGAACAGTTCTGGGCCACTGCACCTGACATGCATGTATTGTTCCTATCGAATAAAAAGAAAGAAGGTTATACACTTACTGAGAATGAGACAGAAAGTCATCCTTGGCTTGAATGAATCCAAGGAAGATTGTCCTCAAGTTCAGAAGATGGCAGAAAGAACAATGTGCCCTATTTTGAAAATACCAGCTTCACTGAGGAAACACCTGCTGTGTGGCATCTACATATGGTGAGGGGAATTTCAAGCCCTGCTTAAGTGCCTTAGATGTCAAGCATACAATCTTCAAATTAAATCTTCTGGCTGAATGAGATGTATGCAATTCAGACAGGAAACAACAGTACATTCATAGCAAATTAACAAAATAAATGAGCCTTGCCTGCTGAAGTTGGAATAAAACTAAAGGAACTGGAAGATTAACAAGTACTTGCATCTGTTTGAAATTACCAGAGAACAAACAAGAATCATCAGATTAATCGATATCTCCTATATACAAGAAACGTTGATAACTCCATCAAACAACCTGCAAATTTAAGGCTACAGCGTAACAGAGTAAATAGGCTGCTGGATGAAGATGAAGCAAGCATAAATGATTTAAGAGCTCCCAGCTTGCAGTGTGCTCTGGTTTAAGACAGACAATCAGAAAAGTTGTGCTCATCAATTACTTTTTAACTTAAGGAAGATCTGTTTATTCAGGAAAGTATCATGAAGCAGGTCTGCACATATGAGATCAAACCCAAGGTTCAGATGTGGATAGCAGATTACACAGAAGACAGGTATTATAATGAAGGCAACATCAATTCTACCCCACACTTGAAAAGCAGATTTCCTTCCAAGTTCTGAAAAAAATCCAAACAAACACAAGAAAAAACAAAACCAAAAACCCACCACAGATAAGACACCAATTACATCCAGCTAGTGAACTAACACTCAAAGTTGCTGTTGACTAGAAGTAATTCTGCTTTTGCACCAAGATGTGTAGGGAATAAGATCAGCCATGACAAACTCGGCAGCCGACTACCACGGAAAATAAATAAATAAATGCAATCCCTTTGGAAAAAAAGCTTGTACAGGCACAAGATGGAGGGCAGGCGTGGTGACTGAGCAGACCTTGGAGTAGAAGCACTGCTACTTCAGGGGATCTCAGACAAACCTCAAACTGTACACAGGCATGCGAGTTTTACAGCCACAGAAACACGCTCCCAGCTCCTCAGCCCACTGCTGACTGCAAACCTGGAGCAAGAGCTGGTGCAGGGGCATTTACCAGTTGAACCGAAACTTTCACGCATATCCGTGAATATTGTCTATACAAGCACACAGGAATGTAAAACAAAGCAATCCTCACCTACAGAGGTTGAGTCAACATCTCAAACTAACACATAACAGGTCAAATTTAGTGCCAGTAACACTCCTCTTGTGCCAGGCACACCAGGAGCTCCACTGCTGAACCAGCTGAGATCCTCCACAAGGCTGAAGACACTGCATGTGTGTGCTGTTTGCTGCCACAGTGCTAAAGAAAACTTATTTACAGATGAATGTTGCTCAATTAAACTTGAGTTTTTCTTTTACTGAATGTACTTGCGTAACTTACTTCCCCACCCTAATGACCTCTTCCAACCCGCGATAGCCTTCCTCCTACTAATTCAAAAGCAAAAATCTTCAGATTAGTTTTCAAACTAAGGCTGAGATGAGCTCATTCACCTTCTGTGCCCAAGCACACTGAAGCGTACTCCAAAGGCCTTCAAAGGTACGTGCACTTCAACCCTACCTGGACATACGGACTCCAGTACCTGGGCTGTCACTAGGGCTGGTGAAAGAGCTCTATAAAAAGTGTCAGGGACACACAGGACTTGAACCTGCCCTGCTTCTCAGTATTCATTACAGATGCAGAGTCTAGAATCACAGAATGGTTTGGGTTGGAAGGGATCTTCAAAGATTATCTAATCCAACCCCCCTTCAATAAGCATGGACATCTTTTGAGTATCTTTTAGGTTGCTCAAAGCTCCACCCCACACTTCCAGTGATGAGGCATCCACAAAAATTACCAGAGGGATGGAACACCTCTCTTAGAAAGAAAAACTGATAAGAGTTGGGGGTGTCCTGCCTGGAGAAGAGAAGGTTCCAGCGAACCTTAGAGCGGCCTCCCAGCACTTAAGGGGGCTACGGCAAAGAGGGGAGGGACTCTATCAGGGATTGTAGGGATAAGATGAGGGTTAATGGTTTTAAACTAAAAGAGGAGAGATTCAGACTAGATATAAGGAAGAAACTTTTTATGATGAAGGTGGTGAGACACAGGCACAGGCTGCCCAGAGAGGTGGCAGATGCTCCTCCCTGGAAGTATTCAGTGTCAGGTTGGACGGGACTCTGAGCAACCTGATCTAGTTGAACATGTCGCTGCCCACGGCAGGGGGGTTGGACCAGATGAGCTTTAAAGGTCCCTTCTAACCCAAACCATTTTATATCATTCTATGATCCATGATTTCTCTGGGCAACTTGTTCCATTGTCTCACCACCCTCACTTTCAATTTCTTCCTTCTGTCCAAGAAGTCTCTCCTTTCTTTCCCTACAGTCAAAACACTTGTTCAAAATACTGGCTTTGAGTACCAGAACTTTTCAGCACAGAAACACCTAACTTGTTGTTTTCCCCAGTTCCTTCAATATTTGGCATACCATCCATGCTTACAGACTCTGAATCTTGTACACAGTCTGTCCAAGCAAGACCATTTAATTGCCCATTTACTCTAGTATCCCATTCTCTCTAGTATCCTGTTCTAGTGTCAATATTTTCTAGCAACAAATCATTTCCACCCAAACCTATCAGAAAGGTTGAAATTCAAAGTAAGAAGGCATTTTAATCCAAGTGCTAAGCTTCCTCTGGGTTTTTATTGTCTTCTTCCTACTGAGAGGACAAGACTCAACTTGCTCTTTTAACTCTCAACCATGGAGTAGAAAACACAGTGTTTTCCCCAGCTGCTCCTTCTCTGCAACCAGGAGAAAAAAAACATCACAAGATATGGGCAAGTCACTCACTTTTTAGAAATGTGTTGGTGACTTTAGGATTTATCATTGCATCGTAAACACAGCATAGAACTGCTCATGATTCTCTCAGCTAAAGGATAAAAGCAGAGAAACTTGCACCACACTCCCCTTTTATGTAATCCAAAAATAACTCAGGACAACTGTAAGGACAAGCGACTCTCATCAGCAAAACTCATTCCAAAACACACAGACTAACCTGTTCTTCCATCTGCACTGTGGGGTGATGTTAAGGAGGTGAAAGCCAAGTCAGTGCTCTCTAGTATTTATAGCATAAACATACATCAGGTGTGTTACAATTTTTTCAAGCTTCTGTCATTCCCATATTTCTTAAAATGTAGCTTTTTCACTCCTGTGGCTGCCACCCCACCAAAAATAGCTACTCTTCTTCTCATTTCATTTCAAGGAATTTTGAAGAAGAAAAAGATATGGACCAATTAAACAAAATTTTAGCTGCAACTAAACACTTCTCACTTCCTTTGACAATACCTTACAGTGCAGAAGGACACAATCTGTTCTGCAGTCACACCTCTAATAAAGGATGAGAAGGGGCACAGTGTTGCAGAGAGGAGATGGGAAAGGATGAGCAGAATATTTTCTTTTCAAGGAATGAGCAATCTCTAGTACACAAGAAAATTAAACTACTTCCATAAGCTCCTGAGTTTCCAAAGTGTTAATAAGTTTTCCTGATATGCACAAGAAACTGACAGTGAATTCAAAATTTACAAAATTTATTTCTACTTTAAAGTAAAAGGCAAAATGAAACTTAAGCAAAAAATCAAGTATAATGCAAACCTAAGAGAAAATCTGCATCTGTAAACCAGCAGAGAAAAGGGCAACAGGGAGCACAGCAACTGTCTGGTAAGTACAGTCACAGCAATAGGTAAATCTCAGCAGTTTTAAAGCAGTCTTAAAGTCTGAAGCAAACACGCGTATAGGCTCAGTAATTATTCCTCCTGAGGAAGTCTGCTAGAGGTAACTAAGTTCAACCTTCTTCCTGGTTTTAATGCTTTGACATACTTACTTTCTTCTGCAATATAAACAGTGGCAACAAAATGAGATTTTTCATTTCCACCATTTTAACATTTACAGCACATTTCCAGACCAGCAGCTCCAGCAGGAGTAAAGCCATGCTTCAGCAATACTTCGTCTTCAGCAGCCACACCAGACAAAGATATTTCTGCCCACATGCACCCCTCAAAGACCCTCTTTAGAAAGAAAAATCTCTTGTAGGTCCAAGTTGCAAATCGGTCAGAGCCCCTGCCAAACTGGCTGCTGAGGGGGCTGGAGAAGTGAAGGGGAGAAGTTTGCAACACACCTGCAAGCACCCCCCCGGCTGCTGTGAAAACAAGAATACCTTAAACAGGTATTGCCAACACAGGCGTGCTGCAGTTCATGAAACCCTTTCAAATCTCAATTATAACAAAATTATACACTAAAGATGTGGAAAGG